TCCCCAAGGATATGATCCAGCGGTATATATGGTATATTCCGATTACAGCCTGTAAAGGTAAATGGTATTTGATTCAGACTTCGGTTAACACAGATGCGAGTGAATGTAGAACGAGAGGTGTGTGCGAAGTAGTGTATTTGATAACAGCCACATTAGTGTCACGCTATGTTAGAATCACAACGGAAAGTGTTCAAGGTCACACACTTAAACAACAGGTACGATCATTTACTGATAAATGTACATGCAGTGGGAAATTAACAGAATAAATGCAAATAACATTAAAAACTATTTACAAAATAAACATGTCAGGCATATCTCCACAGAAAAAAACGGTGACAACCAGTCAAAATTTCAATAAACAAGGGAAAAACGTTTAATCTTATTATGGCATCGTTACTTGTTGCGCAGATTTGGTAGCCTTGACGACAATAAAGTTTTTACGATTATATGTGCTTAGATCATGTCATTTCATATGAAAATGAATTATTCGTCTACTCTTAGTGTAAGGCTTAGAGGAAATAATCACTAGTCTGAGATGCGAATTTAGAAAAGCTATTGCAACGATACCCCTGAAGCGTTGCCTTGTTTCTCGTTGAGTTCATTAACTGTTTTGATCGTAAATTACGCATCAAAACTACTGTTTACACTTTAATTGAATCTACTCCAGTTAAAGTGATATTGTATTGATTGTTTTGATTCTGCTTTTGTGTATTTATTGCAGCAAAGCATACTTGGTCGACTTTTACTTGATAATTTAGTCAAGGTTTTAGCATTTTTTTTTACATATCCTCTTTGTATCACCATTGTATTTGGTTTTCAAGATGGCCAAATCGGCTCATAAATGTGGACAACCATGTTGTTTATTCCCCGTGAAGGAAGGGATGCAATGTGATGAGTGTAAGAAGTGGTTCCACAAGATGTGCACCCGACTAAGCCCCGCTGCATATAAAAGGTGCTCAAAGCCCAACTCTCATTGGCTTTGTAGTTTTTTTGCTCAAACAAAACAACACTCATCCAGGAAGCCATTAGCCTCCTGGTATTGGCTAATAAGAAGGTTGACGAGGGCTGCACTGGCAATATTGATGCTGATAGCAAAGATCGCGTTAGTGTCGTAAGTGCTGTCACGGCGCAAGTCAGACATCTAACTGCGCAACCCGAGATCAAAATTTTTACCTCGAAACAATCAATGAGTGACACCTCATTAGATATTGGTGGCATGTTGCTACAGCAGCAACTGGTGATCCAGATAAAACAATTATTGTCCCGAGCAGTTCCGATGTAGATGCTACGGCTGACGGAATATGGATGACGTGTAAACGCAGAAGAGTAGGAAAGACAGCTAAAAGTAAGGACCGTTTACTTGATAAGTCTTTGGTGGACTCTCAGACCACTCCGCCAAAGTCCCAAAGTAAAGCCTCGTCAAACATTGTTGTGAGTCACTCGCTCGACTCCAATGACTCTGTTACAATTAAAACTAATCGTAAGATACCAGTAGTTAATATACAGGATGTAAGGTCACGATCGATAGCTGTAAACACGATTCCAAAAGAAACTAAACCACTCCTCAGTTTAATTATTTGGAATCTAGAGGAGTCGATAGACAACGATCCTGCTAAGAGACATGCACATGATCTGAAGTTAGTAGAATCCGTGGTAAGAAACATACTACCTGAAGAGGTTTCAGGAGTACATATCACGAAAGTGATACGACTCAATAAAAGGGTTGGAGGCGAGACCCAACCAAGAAGGATCTTGAAGAAAGAGTTATATTATTGAAAAACACACAAAAAATTCATGATTCAAATATTTGTATCCGACCAGATCGGCCGCTTAAGGATCGAATCAAGTGGAAGAATGCTCTTACGGAGTTAAGAACTCGCAAGTTAAATGGCGAAACTAACCTTACCATTAAGGGTTTTCGGGTAGTCAGGTCTTGGAAGCCAATGCTTCCGAGGCCTGTATGGGTAGAACGAACGATTACCAAAACACCTTAAGTGTGTGCTACACGAACGCTCGTAGTCTTAGGAATAAAACGTCCGAGCTAAGTCTGATGGTGGATGAATTAAGTCCCGATATAATTATCATTACAGAAACTTGGTTCACCGTAGATATAGAACGTTCTCCCATCATTGCAGGCTATATCTGTATTAGAAGTGATAGAGTTTTAAGCCGCAAGGGGGGAGGCATAATGCTATACATTAGGGACCACTTTCGTATACAATCAATCATATCGGAGGCTCATGTTAGCGGTACATGTGAGGTAGCATGTTGTAAGATTAAATCTAGAAATAGGTTAGTGACTATAGGCGGAATATACCGTAGTCCGTGTTGTCTTGCTGACGACTTTATCTTAAGACACATCTGTTCTTGGAGTATGGCAGAATGTTGCCTCATCATTGGGGACTTCAACGCTCCGCACATAAACTGGATAGAGCTTACAGCTCCAGGTGGAGGTTTCGATAGCGAACTTTTATCAACAGTTATTCAGTGTGCACTTGTCCAATGTATCACTAAACCGACACATATTGATCTGAAACGTGATCCGTCACTGCTGGACCTCGCCCTCACCCACCACTGTGAGGACGTCTTTGATATTCAGCACCTTCCTACACTAGTGAACAGTGATCACGTTGTACTTCACTTTAAGTTTAGGACACATGGTATACGATTTGTATCTGCTCCACCCCGTCCCAATATCTGGCGGGCTAATATTCCGGCAATCAGAGACTGTGCGATCTCTACTGATTGGTCGGTTGACGCAGATGGATCGATCGAAGACGAATGAATTAAGTTTAAGGCTACATTCGAGTCCGTAACGTCGCCGTTTATCCCATGGTCAGCACGTAAGCTATCGCATTGCCCTCCATGGATTAATAAGGAAACCCGTAAGCTGTTAAAGCGTAGAAAACATTTCTGGGACTTATTCTTGTTGACAGGTCATGCATCTTTTAAGAGTGAGTACCAAAAACTCCGGAATATTTGTAAGAAAACAATAGCTAAATCCCGTATTACTTACGAACGACAGTTGGTATATGATAGCCGTACTTGTCCAAAACGATTGTTTTCGTATGTTAAACGGCAAATAAAACGTAGTGATAGTATTCCCCCATTATTGTTACACGATAATTCAGGTTTACTAGCTGAATCAGATCGAGCAAAAGCTGAGACATTTTCAAACTACTTTAGCGAAGTCTACTCTACGTTTATTGTAACAAATACTTGTCCCAATCACGCCGAGATACCAGCCATTGAATCTGTACAGGTGACTGAAGAAACTGTCCTTCCGTTAATAATTAACCTCAAACCTTGTAAGATACCGGGTTCTGACGGGTTAAATCCACGACTGCTGTCATCTCATGCAGACATTATTTCAAAACCGCTCGCGACACTCTTTAACATGTCCCTTTCACTCGCTCAACTAACTAGGGATTGGAAAGATGCTATTGTCAGTCCTATATTTAAGGATGGTCAGAGACACATCGTATCCAACTACCGACCTGTCAGTCTGACTAGCATTGTCGTTAAGTTACTTGAAAAGATAATTCTGGTTAGGTTGCTAAGCCACGTAGATTCACACAATCTGTTAGCTCCTGAGCAACACGGATTTCGTGATAAGCGTTCATGCTTGACTAACTTATTGCGAGAGAGGATTGGACAGCAGCCTTAGATAAAGGTCTGTCTGTCGATGTTATACTCATAGATTTTAGCAAAGCATTTGACAAGGTTTCACACTCAGGTCTTATGCAGAAGCTCACAAGCTTCGGAATAATAGGTGCTGTACCGGAGTGGATAGGAAACTTCTTATGTGACCGCAGACAGAGTGTGAGGGTCAATGGGACGCTATCCGATTGGAAGCCGGTCAAAAGTGGTGTACCCCAAGGCACCATATTAGGCCCTCTGCTATTCCTTCTCTACGTAAATGAGTTACCGCTGTTGCTTAGGTCGTCGACATTATTATTTGCGGATGATGTCAAAATATGGAGAGCAATAAGAGGTGAGGCTGATCATCTGGATCTTCAAGCTGACTTAGACGATTTAGTTAGATGGGCTCGAGATTGGGGTTTAGAAATCGATTCTAGGAAGAGTGTGCTAATGCACATCGGTCACGGCAATAGTTACCATTATACTATTGATGGTAAACCTCTTCCATCCGTTCAAGAACATAAAGACTTAGGAATAATAATAAGTCATGATTTAAAAACAACTGCGCACTGCAACGCAGCCGCTGTCAAAGGTTTTCGTGCGTTCTGGTCACTTCGCCGAGCGTTCAAATCCTTTGACGAGGAAATGTTTCGAATTTTATATCCCACCTATGTAAGACCACATTTAGAGTACTGTATTCAAGCAGCTAGCTCATGTCAGATAAAGGATACTACCTCACTTGAGCGTGTCCAGCGTGTGGGAACGAAATTAGTGAAGGGTCTTTCTAAACTCCCTTACGATGAGCGTTTAAAACGCTTAAACCTTTTCCCCTTGTCGTATCGTAGGACTCGAGGTGACCTTATACTGGCATTTCGTATCTTTAATTATGACTTGGGTGTTAATATGTCTTATCTTTTTGCTCCCTCCAGCACTAATAATCTCTGAGGTCACAGCAAGAAGGTTCATAAACCACGATCTAATAAACTCAAGGTGGGGTTCCGTTTTTCTCATCGAGTAGTCAATGATTGGAACGCATTGCCCGATCAAGTGGTATCAGCCCCATCAGTGAATATTTTCAAAGAGAAACTGGAACTTCACTGGAAGCCAACCTGTTAGGATTAACACAGGTTCACTAACCTACTATCCTTATTACTGAAGACTGAAGACTGACTGAACAGCATTTGAACAATGATTTTCAAGTAATTTGTGATACTATGTACCGCAAATTGGAAAAAACCTTTAAAACCTAATTGTGAAAACGGAAAATAAACTTTCGAGTTTATTCATAATTAATTTCGATTTTTCGCTGTACACAAAGCTGAAGTGAAAAGAAACACAAACAGTGTCGCGATTCCACAGCAACGTTGTCCGAAATCACAGCTATTGAAATGCGGAAAGACCGCCACTTATTAAGCCTTTCAAGGTCGTTGAAATGAAACGGCGTGCGGCTCTGAAAATGTCGAACGTTTTCACCGTGTCGACACAATGAGAAGTGCGATACGTAGAAAATTAGTTCTTGTTGGAGATGGTGCATGCGGGAAAACTTGTTTAATTTTTGTATTTTGCACTAACCGGTTCCCAGAATTTTATGTTCCTACCGAATTAAAAAACTATGTTGCAGATATTGAAGTTGATAACAGACAAGTAGGTGTATAAGTACTTATCATATGTGGTAGGTTGAATTAACTCTCTGGGACACTGCTGGTCAAGAAGATTATGATAGGTTACGGCCACTTTCTTATCCTGATACGGATGTAGTTCTGTTGTGTTATAGTATTGATTCTCCTGATAGTTTTGCAAACATTGAGGAGAAATGGTTACCAGAAGTAGATATAACGAGTTCATAAATCCTATTATAGATCCGGCATTTTTGTCCTGATGTTCCCATTATCTTAGTTGGAAACAAAAAAGACTTACGACATGATGAGGCTACGAAGAATGAGCTACACAGAACCAAGCAGCTTCCTGTCACCTTTAATGAGGGTAAACAAGTAGCTGAAAAGATTTCTGCTTATGCCTTCTATGAGTGCTCAGGTACTGTCTTTACTTATTGTCTAGCTTTCTTTAGCTAAGACCAAGGAGGGTGTCAGCGATGTTTTTGTAGCAGCTACTCGAGCCGCCTTGAATTCAGCGAAGAAGAAGAGGAGGAAGTGTGATTTAATTTGATTCTCACTATTCTCTGAATTGTCTAAATTTGATTTTCCGGTCTCCAAAACGTACATTCCCCTCCTAATTCTTCCTCAGGACATTAAATTGCTACTTCTATTGACTGCTTGTTGCTTTACCGATCATACTTTTTGTTTACCAACAAGACAATCCATTCCACTGAAATATTTACCATTTATTTTTGTCTTGATACTAAGACAGGGCATGCCTCATGTAACTTATATTTATTGAGAATAAATTATTATAATCAGTCATCTTTCTAACTTTGTTACCCAGCATTCATGCCTGTTGAGTGTAACAAAATATACAAAGCCAATTTATAACTAACTTTTGTCCCAAGGTTATCCGGTAGGGAAAATGATTGCGACTTACCTACTTACTATGTGCTACGCTTCGTATATGCACAGGAGTGAAGCGGAAAGTTGCCTTGTTTATTTCTGCTTGGTTTACGTAGCGGCACAGGTTCATATTAATTATGTTACTTCTCTAGTTACATCTACTGAGTCGGTTTTGACTCAAAGCAATGTACTGACCATGAATAATGTTTCAATTTAGAATGCCTTCACCTGCTGTTTGTGTGATATATGGTGAGTGTTTTACTCATCGTTGTTGTGAAACGTACTTTTTAATACTTATTCGCTTGCAAATGTAGTTTCACCGACTAGTATGTACTGAGTTTGTATGGTAGTGGAAAGTCCGACACATCGCAGTGCCAGGGGGATAGGTATTTATTATTTATTTATTTATTTAAACACATAAATATTGGTACAATATTTATGTGGACTTGTCTCACGAAACAACTTGAGCGGCTCAATGGAAATCAGTCTAGTTTACTGCTACCAAGAAAGCCTGATTAAACTACTTACTTGTGTAAAGTTCCAGTGACTTGGACTTGTTATAGAACGGATCTTTTTTTCCTAACCTTTCTCCGTACTTCGAATCACATCGAGGTATTTTGAACATATACTGTTATAACCAACGTGACCCATTGTCCTGAACATCACAAACCAGAAAACCTAGGTTGCCATCAAGTATTTGGTGGAATTCTAGATACTTCTACTATATCTCAACAAACAACTCCATTACCTACTACTGTTTGGTTGACTAGTGGTGTAGAGCACCAAATAATATTCCCGTTATTTGTAGCCCAAATGTAGATGCTCGACTGAACCATATTTTCAAGAGTTGTAGTTGTTGAGGTAGCTATCCGTACTCCCTTCATGAGTAGTTCCTGTCTTGAATTGTCCCAGTTGCGTTGCGTTGCTCTGTATTTTATTTTGTGTTAAGACTGAGCATCGCGTATACCTCTTCACTTACGCTTACCTATCAATAGCTTGAATCCTGTCATCTGACCTAATGAAGCTTGAGGTAACAGTAAGTTGTGATGACTTGCCTTTGAAAAGGTGCTTCAAAGTTATGATCTGGGTTTGCCAGACTGTCTTATGTGTTCTTTAGCTAATGGTATTTTCTTCTATCTGTGTCCAGTTGCTAATCTCATGAGTCTTGTGATGACCAGAGGGAAGTAGCTTGGCTGACATGGTATCGAAATTCCCAGTCCCATAACGATTTGATCCTTAACTACAGGTGGGAAACAGCAAGTCTATGTCTTGGGCTTGACCAATAGTATGTTGGTTAAATGGTTACCATTTGTCATATTCTGGTAACCACGTGACATCTAACTTACTTGTACTTACGAGTGATACTTGATTCCACTTGTTGAGTTTCGTGACGGTGTTTAGTTTTTGAAATTGATATTAAGATTATAAGTAAGAGTTCAAGATTCGCCATCTGAATGGTGTGATTTTCGTATGGATTTTTACCTTAAAGTTGTGCTCATTTTGTCATCTACATGCTCTGTGGGGTGGTGTCTTCTCGTTCTACTTCTCGAATAAATCCTGTAGATTCATTAACTCGGAATCGTATTGTTGGTAGATAACAGTTTTCCTACTACTGAAAGTGAGTCGAAACATTTGTACTGCTTATGCTGTAGATGCTAAACGGTAATTCACGGTTGACCCATATCAGTCTGCTTTGATAATTGGCAGCTAGGTAGTCAGGGGATATACCATCTCAACTAAACGCCCTTCTAGCCGTGACAATGTGGCGACTTATGTAATCAGGTGAGAGACAAAGAGTTCGTTTCGTCTCTCCCAACACACGCTGCATTTGGTGTAGGCAGAGGGCTAGTGCCCTGACGTATGGCTAACTTTCTATAACTTCACATTTGCAAATCATCCACTGATTGTAGATATCCGATTCTACGTATCATTGAACTAATTTTCGTGTATGGTACAATTAACGAGTGAGCAATGTCAATGTTCGACGCAGAGTACTGGGTGAATTGACAAAGAAGTTATTAAACTTGTGCAACTGAAGTAGCTGTGAGACAAGTTACTTTTCCATACACACCAACGTTTTAAGTTAGCCACTACAGAAGAGTAATCATACTGTCTATACAATAAACTCATTTAACTTCATCTTACGTGCAGTTACTCTGAAGTAGATAACACGGTAAAGTTTGCTGTTTGTGCTCGACAAATGTCAGATACGTACTAGAAGAGTAATACCACTGTGAGAAGACGTGTTACCTATAGAATGTTTGTAATTAACATAGCGGGAATGTTGCCAGCAGTTTGCGTCGAAATTCCTGATTTTCTTAACAATAATTTTAATTAATGAGTATTGGTTATAGAGAGAGTCTCTTATGTTGGAATATAAACCATCAGCTACAATGCAAATGATCTTTTATGTTTATCCATGATTTTGAGAAGCGGTATAGTGTTTTATAACAGTCCAGAATTAAACGATACTCAGAATAATTGGGAGGCAAAAGCTTTTAGTCAATTAACTTGTCGGATTTCGCATGTTGTACGAGATATTGTCTGTCCTAATGATACACATATTTCTGGTGAAATTCCTCCCCGAACACACTACCTAACCATACAATTCTACCTTTCACTCTTAAACATACTCCTTTCACCAAACTAACTTCCAACTACCTTTCTCGCATTAACCCTATTGGTAATAAACTAAATGCACATCAATATGGAGTCCACACTCCCAATCCTTCTTTAGCACATGGCGAAACAGACGATTAACTGGGTTTGCAACATACAATCCTACTAGACAAACACTCACCGTACCTGACACTTATGTTAATCAACGCTCGATCTGTACAAAGTAAGATGACACATCTACGCACCCTACTACTTTTGAACAACCCCTCACTTGTTTTGATAACGGAAAGTTAGCTGTCCTCCGATATCACAGACACATATCTACAAATAGACACCTATGAGCTCTTCCGCTGTGATCAAGTCAACAAGAAGGGTGGTGGTTGTCTTGTTTATGTATCTAAAAATCTGAAAGCGGAAACCTATAGCGACAATATCCTCAGCAAACTTCCTGATTCGATATGGCTCACTAAGCACACTCATGAATGCAAAATACTAATCGGATGCATATATCGAGCTCCTAACACACCTAGCTCAACTGACACAATTATATGTGAGTCATTTGCTCAGGCTGCCTCGCTTGACTTCACTTACAAAATTGTTTGTGGTGATTTCAACCTACCCACCATTAACTGGACGACACTCTGGCCCATTGTGCTTTGAAGGCATACTTAGGTCCTTAGACATACACGGTTGGCAACAACATGTACACCTGCCTACACGAAATCACAACATTCTTGACTTGATATTCTGTCATAATGTCACACCAACATCAATAGTGGTTAGCGAAAAGTTTCACAACAGCGATCATAAAATAGTCCTCTGCACCCTTCCGATTCTTGCCATGTGCAACAAACTAAAGACAATAAATACACGTTTCCAATATAGAAACTATGCAAACGCTGACTGGGAAAACTTTCAATTTCTAATAAAGCACTCTGACTGGAGCAGTTTCCTTACCAGTGATCACCTCTTAGAAACATTAGAAATATTCAATACCACCATCAAATATGCACTAGACACTACTATACCCTTTAAAATTGCTTTTAAGACAACTACTCCCTACATAAACCAAAAGACTAGATCTAAACTGCGTAAACTGAAAAGGACGTACTATATATCAAAAGACTTCAGTGCCCTGCACCAGATATATTCTGTACTCGACGGAGTACAAAGTCAACACGACAAGCATAAACAGGCAGAGGAACATACTGCGCTCACTGCTGCATCTAAAACCCATGCCTTATGCCGTATCCTCGCAAAACGCATAAGAAAGAACGAAGATCACAACATTCACTCCCTACTGCACGATGGAGTGACGCATAATGACCAAACCATCATATGTGAACTATTAAGTGAATGGTTTTCCCACAATGGGAATACATCTCATGTCACAGATATCAACACAAAGTGCACCTGCAAAAATTATCTTAGTACCATAAACTTCGACATAGGGAGTATACACACCGCCATTAAAACCCTTAAGCCAAATGTGAGTTCTGGTGCCGATGGCATCCCCTCAATCCTTTATAAAATGTCAGGTTTGGACATACAGACGCTATTACTCAAAATATACACATTATCCGTAGAGACAGGTACATATCCGGAAACCTGGAAGGTAACGTATGTTCTTCCAAAACACAAATCCGGACCGAGAAACCTGGTCGAAAACTACAGACCTATAAATATCACTCCAGTTATATCACGCATAATGGAAAAAGTGATAAAAAATCAACTATCTGATCACCTACTTAAGGAAAATCTAATAGACCTGTCACAACACGGCTTCATTAGAACAAGGTCGTGCAGTACATGTCTGATAGACTTCTTTAACGAGGTTACTCGCATATGTGATCAAAAGAAACTGGTGGTTATACTATATTTCGATATTAAGAAAGCTTTCGATAAAGTACCTCATAATCTTCTAATCAACAGACTTAAGTCAGTTGGAATTATAACTCCCCTTTTGCAATGGATCAAGTCTTTTCTTACGAACAGATACCAAATAACCAAGATTGACTCTACAACATCTACACCTCGACCAATATCCAGTGGTGTTGTGCAGGGTAGTGTCTTGGGTCCATTGCTCTTTATAATATACATCAACAGTATATGCAAATGCTTTAGCACAGGTAAGACCTACCTCTATGCAGATGACTTAAAAGTCATCCATAAAACCGACATTTGGGATGTACGTAGTACTATGCAAACAATCCAACATGAACTCAACATAGTAGACAACTGGTGCAAACGCTGGAGGTTAGAGCTCAACACAGAGAAATGCGGCTGGTTATGTATAG